CGTACCGCCCCGCCCCCCCGCTAGGCTCCATTACCCCCAATAGAACCGCACCTCCTGCACCTACTGCACTCGCCTGCTGCACTTGCTTTACAACCGTACAGTCGGTGGGACCCAAAACTCCCTTCATTACCCTTCTCTCATTTTTGCCGTTCAGTCACAAAGATTACAACAACGGGCCTTTGGGAGCGAGGGGTCCTCCTTCATTTTTCTGTTTTTCTTGATTTTTTCTGTTTTTCTTGATTTTTTCTGTTTTTCTTGATTTTTTCTGTTTTTCTTGATTTTTTCTGGTTTTTTTTCTTCTTCTGACTTTTCGTTGATTTTTCACGATTTTTTCGTGATTTTTTTGTATTTTTTTCTGATGGTGTACATTGATGTTTTTGAGTGAAGGGACCCTTGTGTGGGGGCGACGAAGTTTATATATAAACGCAACACTCCTGCCGTAGTAAGTAGGTCCAGAGTCACCATTGTCATTCGCCATTCGTCATTCGCAATTTTGTTTCTCAAAAATACAAAAAAAAAATCGTGGAGGCCCGCTGAAATTTGTACCCTGGGGTACAAATGCGGGGTCGGGGTACAAATATCATGGCTGCCCTACGACCTCTAGGTTGGTGATGTGATCTTAAAACTTATGGGGGTCATGCTTGACATCGTCTCCGGCAGTCGACGGGCACTGCGCCCACGACGACGGTACGGTAGTCGCGGGGGAAACCCCCTTTTGCGCGAAAGTCCTCGCCCCCTCCCCCCACCCCCGCCCGCACCGGTGGCGAGCCGCTTCTGTCCGCGGCCCGCGCTTGCGAATAAGTGAGCAATTATTGCAATCAGCGTTCCGGCTGCAACCCGACACTGATTGAGTCGTGGGTGCTGCTGCTGCTGCTGCTGCTGCTGCTGCGCGCGGAGCGTCCGGCTGCCCCTCCCTGTCTAGAAGAAGGCCGGTGCGCATGCCCAGACGGGACCGACGGCACCCAGACGAGCGGGGTAACCTGACGCGGCCTGACCGCCAACCGGCGGCGGGGCGGGGCGGGGCGGGGCGGACTGGGTCACGCATATCGACGCCCTGGGCCGGAGCGAACGCCGCGAGAGTCCCATTCAAACCACTTTCACTCGCGTCGATTCAATTTGCTTCATATGAAAAGCAAATAATAAGCAAAATAATCAGAAAAATGACAGCTCTGCGCTTGATGGTAATCAGAGTGGGGGCTGCTCTCGGGTGGTGTAGCCGTGGCAAGATCTTTTCAATCCGGCCAAAGTGGCACGCCGTCAGCACGCTACGCCACGCCGCGCCGCGCCGCGCTGCCGATGAGTGAAAGTGAACTTGGGGCCGCACTCGTGGCGCTCACCACCCTGTGACCCTGTGGTGACGCTCCCGTGCCCCATCAGCATCTAGAGCCGTCTCCCTCCCTCTCTCCCTCCCTCCCTACTCCCCTCCCTCCC